CCCGCCCAAAACAAATCCTAAACCTCAACACCACTGTACCCATCTCCCCATTACCCCCCACTTACCGTAGTGCTCTTAAAGATCCAAACTGGCATGCTGCTATGATAGATGAATTTAATGCTTTGATTAAGAATGACACATGGGAACTAGTACCCCCCTCCCCCCACCAAAACATCATAACCGGTAAATGGCTTTTCCGACATAAACTTGGCCCTACAGGTGAGTTATCCAGGTACAAAGCCCGATGGGTTGTTTGCGGTTTTAACCAAAGATTCGGTGTGGATTATGATGAGACGTTCAGCCCGGTCATAAAACCGGCTACGGTACGCATTGTGTTGAGTATAGCTCTTTCTCAGGGATGACCCATTCATCAGCTGGACATCAAGAATGCCTTTCTTCACGGGTATCTACAGGAGACGGTATATGCCTTATATGGCCTCAATCAGGCTCCCAGATCGTGGTACCATCGATTTGCAGGTTTCATTCAGATCATTGGGTTCCATAGCTGCAAAACGGACACGTCTCTTTTTGTGTTCACAAAGGGGCCGAACACAGCTTATCTACTCCTCTATGTCGACGACATTGTTCTCACAACATCTTCTGATCATCTCCTACAGCATCTCACTCAGCATCTTAAGGGAGAGTTCGCCATGACCGATATGGGGGATCTACACTTCTTCTTGGGCATCAATGTCCATCGCACCCCCCGTGGACTTTTTCTTCATCAGACACAGTTCACTCATGACATTCTTGAGCGTGCTGGGATGGTCACCTGCCGCCCCATCTCCACCCCAGTTGATACTAAGTCGAAACTCTCCGCCACTGATGAGTCAGTTGCCTCTGATCCCTCTCTCTACCGCTCCATTGTTGGAGCCCTACAGTACCTCACGTTTACACGGCCAGATATTACTGATGCAGTACAGCAGCTTTGCCTCCATCTACATGCTCCACGAGAGGCGCACCTGATAGCTATGAAGCGGGTTCTCCGCTATCTCCGTGGCACCACCACTTTGGGCATCTCACTCACCCCCTCTCGCACGGACATACTACAGGCCTACTCAGATGCAGATTGGGCCGGCTGCCCAGACACCAGACGCTCCACATCCGGTTACTGTGTTTTCCTCGGTGACAATCTCGTCTCCTGGTCCTCCAAGCGGCAAGCCACCACCTCTCGCTCCAGTGCCAAAGCCGAGTACCGCGCCGTCGCCAACGCTGTCGCTGAGGCTAGTTGGATTCGGAACCTCCTTCTTGAGCTACGACATCCCTTGCAGCGTGCTACTCTTGTCTTTTGCGATAATGTCAGTGCAGTCTACCTCTCCACTAATCCAGTTCAACACCAGCGCACCAAACACGTCGAGGTAGACATTCACTTTGTTCGAGATAAGGTCGCACTAGGACATATCCGTGTCCTTCATGTTCCCTCCTCCTCTCAGTATGCTAATATATTCACTAAAGGACTCCCCTCAGTTCTATTCCTGGATTTTCGCACAAGCCTAGGGATTCGTCCTCCACCGCAGCCGACGTAGCCGGGAGCATGTTAAATATATTTACCATATATATTTATGTTAAGTATATTTAATGTATTTATTATTATATCATTGTATTATTGGTAGTTACCTTTTGTATAGGTTTCCTTACTTATACTCCTACCATCATTAGGAGTCCCGTCCTGTATATATACGGTTGTACTCCTACACGTTTGATTATCGAAAATATTCATTCTTCACTTTCACCTAATCATCTCAAGTAGCCATTTTGAAATAATAATAATGATGATGATGATGATAAAACACCAACAATAATAATAATTGATCTTAAGAAGTTGGGCATTTGGGCGATGAAAGTTTCAATGTTAATCCACTGATACGCTACATATAACTGAAATGTACAATCTATAGCAGTTAAGAAAATAAATAGCTCCAAATGAATGAGTAACAAAAAGTGGCAGGTCGAGATAAAGAATGATGCCTTGAGTATTGAGCTCTGCACAATAAGTGAGAGTGAACCACTGAGCTTAGGATCAATAACCAAACACTTCTGCCCTCGAATCTGCAATTTTCCAAAAGAAAAAGCAACACTCTTAAAATAAAAATTACAGAACTGAGACAAATTCATCGAGCACTACGACAAGCTGACAGGAAAACTCGCAAATTAGGCATTGCATCAGTGTAAAGCAGCACAGATGAGTTCATAAGAAGAAGAAAAAAGGTATAAAACTTACGTTCTTCAAAATCATCATGAGCTCCTTCTGCGATTGATCTCTGTATACCAACACAGCAACAATTTGTCATCCAGATCAAACGCGGATGTGCAGAAAGGAAGTGGAATTTAAAATTTTAACATGATAATAATAATAACAATAATAATAATAATCAGAGATGGAATATGCGATAAATATTCACCTTATGGAGGTGAGGTTTATGGGAGCATTGTCGAGATTTGGGATTTGCGCCATTTTGTCGCCGTCTCCTTCTCTTCTCTACTCTCAGCTCTCCTGCAAAACTTAGCGCCCAGGAAGCGAGCGAGCGGAGATCACCAGATTCACTTCAAACAGTAGCACATTCCATACCGGGTCCGGATCCGGACGTTTTATTAGTTTGTCCCGACTCCCGATCCAAAGTGTTAACTCAGCCTGTCAGCCATTATCTACAAAATTAAAAGGGCTTGGTTCCCCTTCATGGGATGACCCAAGAATATTCTGGTGCCTCATTCGTAAAATTGACAATTTTTACTTCCAGTAAACTCCTTCACTCCAACCCGAACACACCCCTTCACTCCCTTCAATTGCACCCTCAAGTTAATTTTGATTTTGGAGTCAAAATTTGACTCTAAAGTCAAAATTAACTTGGGGGTGAAGGTGTGTGTTCGTTTCGGGACGGGGTGAAGAATTTATCGGGGGCTAGAAATCGTCAATTTTACAAACGGGGCACTGAAGCACCCCCGGGTGATTCTGAATGTCATGGGAACCGGTCCGAAATTAAAATAAGGGTATGCTAATTCCGTCCCTTTTGGCAAAAATCAAATTCTTTTATACTTCCTCTATCTCAAATTAAATTATCTGTTTACTATTTATATAGTCAAATTTCATTTACTTTCTTTTTTATTTTAGTTAGTCATTTGACAACATAATATAATCATGTCACCACTAGTTTTAGATTGATGTAGTTTTTAAATAAGTTATTTTTATTTTTTAACTCTATACCATTTTTTCATATAAGATAATTTAGAATAACTTTAGTCAAACATTCTAAAATGAAACAAACCATTTAAATTGAGATGGAGGGAGTACGGAATAATATAAAGTTCAATTAAATTACTTAAATTTGGTCAAAAATAAATTAACGTATCATAAAAATTTAAAATATATGATTTTCAATAGTTATAGTTAACTATAAAAATTTATCTTTTTACCGTTTTGGTGAGTGAAGATAGTGATTCCTTTTTTTTATCTTCCAAAATTCTCAAACCAAACATAGTGTGATTAACACTAAGAAATTTGAGAGACAGAAAAGAGAATTGCCCCTTCCGTTCTGAAATGGATACCACTATCACTATTATGGCATCTCGATAACTTTTGTTTATTCGTATATTTTTATTGATAATTTGATAAAATAAAATATTCTTGTCACATCTTATTTTATGTACTCTTAAACGGTGTAATTTATACGGAGTACTTTTTATTTCTAAACTAATTTGTAATCAAAATAATATTATAAACAGTGAGATTTTACATGTTGTTCGGAATGTGGCACCGAATATGGAACAGAGAGAGTACATGAACAACTTTTCATGTTTGGTTGGAAAAGAAAAGAAAATTGGGAGAAGGAACAAGTTAAGATGATGGAATACAAGGTTGATTCCATTTTGGTTGATTCTCAATGTACGATTTAAATTTTTTTATTCTCTAAATAAGACTTAATAATGACTAGTGAGAAAAATAATGTCTGAGTGATTCTGGACATTTAGTTGAATAATGACTAATAGATAATAACCAATAGTTCTACATTGAGAAATAAAAACATATGTTCCTATATTGAGAAAGTCATTATGTTTTAGTTTAAGTAAATTACCCTTTTTCTTTTCCTTCCTAATTTCTCAAACCAAGCATAGCGTAATGGTAGAGTCTAACAAAATAACCTAATGTTGTGTACTCTGCATACTTTGGTTAGGAATGCACAACTGTCTGTGGAAGTTGAAGAATTGTTTTTTTCCTTACTGACAACTTCCTTCAATATTCTGTTATAAAGATTCACAACAATGATAACAGGGATGCACAACCTTTTCATAGGAAAGGGTAGCCAAGAGTATTAACCTCAAACTTGAGCCCCCCCCCCCAACCACATAAAATGACCATTATACCCTTACACCCGCCGTTGAACTATCCTTTTTGATCCCCTGTCTCTTCCAACCAGTCTTCCAGTCTAGCTGTTAAGCTCACTCCTCATAACATCCATTCAAAAAGGGATGAATCGGCCTTGACACGGGCAGGTCATCATCCCTGTCTGCTTCTTCTTCTTCATCATCATCAGCAGCAAATGAAGATGAAGAAGGCTCCTCAATCTCAGGAGAAGCCTGCTTGATACTGTTTGCTTTTTTGCTAGCTGATCTAAACGGATGAAAACTCAAACTTTGGGTGTTAATCGTCCCTTCCGTCTCCTCCTCCCTTTGTCTTGTAGAGGACATGACAGCAAGGGTGTGTCTGATATCTTGTATCATCTCTTCAGAAATTCGAAAGCCACAGTTTTTCATTGATATAGCCATGGCTGTGGAGTCCTCAGAATCTTCCGTGCGAAGAGTTGCCTCATGGCATCTATCTGCAACCTTTGCTTTGAGATTGGCAAGGTTGGGGATTGCATTATGAACATGTTGTTGGATGCAGAAAAGCCCCGCCGAAGGTTCATTTGCCAAAAACTTTCATTTCTGCTAAGCTCTCGGCTATCTCCGCAAAACCGTCCGCTGTAGAAAATTCGTGCATCTTCTTGAAATACAAAGGCTCATCATCGCTGTTGGTGTGCACATTTTATCAATGACAAAAGAACGGAATCATAGAGAGGAAGATTCATTAGGATTAACATAGAAAAGACAAGAAAACACAGTAGTAGCTTATGTAACACCCCAACCCGCATGACCCAAACCCGTGAGACAGCGGACCGGTGTGCCACTGAATTGGTATCCGAATTTGCAACATTTTCAAAACAATTTTAAACAAACGTTCTTTCAATACATATAAAAATCCATCGGAGTAATTTAAAATAATGCGGAGCCTTTTTAAAGTCAAACAACTTGGGATCTTGCCCGAAAACGTAATAAGCATTAAAGTTAATTAAATAAAGCATAATCAACAGATTAAAGAGACAGCCACGCCATCGTACATCTCCTCCTCAATGCCCTCTGGGATCGGCTCTAGGTTCATCTGTCTGTTCACCTACGGACAGCAAAAAGGAAAACAACGCTATCCGCTCAGCATTGACGCTGAGTGGTACTCCATTGTAGCACAAGAATAAACATAATAATTCAACAATTAAGATCGTGCATATGTTTATCCTTTTAATAAA